CATGAGCTATAAGTAACAACCGATGAGTTTCATCTTAAAAATAGTTCTCCTACTGGAGTGATACAACATCTTGTATTAACACAAAGTGAAAAACAGGACCTTGTATTGCCAGCAGAAGCGTAGTACTTTAAGATGCTTATCATGCAATGAAGGAGAAGTACATGTCTCTCTGGTGAATCGAACTAAAGTAATACAATTCGCATATCCTTCATTGCATGGTAATCCTCTTAAAGTGCGTACATTCTTTAAGATTAGACAGGACGCTATCCGTAAGCACAACAAAACATGATGTTATTTAAAATGTTACAAAAATAATCGCAACAAAAATATTGGTAGCTTTTTTAATGTGTATTTTTATCAGATAGCCAAAACAAAAGTTTTTGAAGTAGCGTGATTCCAAAGTCACAGCAAAGATTAGTTTTTAGAAAAGAATACATGACCAATTTACATGTGATATACTTCTTATGCGGAGTTTATAAGACAGACTCTGTGCTGTGTATGTGGAATGGACGTTGGTCCTTAACCTTCACGATTAACTATCACCCCGTACAGTTGTTATCACTGTTGGATACCTGCCACGTGCAGTTCCGCACACTTACCGCCCATCCTTACGTAAAACAACGAGAGGAATGGGTTTACGTTATGGACAGGTTTTCCTTTTGTTCGTATAGTCCTTTAAATCCGGGGATCCACGGTTGACAAATACCCTGTATGCCTACAGGATAAATTTGAATATAAATGTAACGTTTTTCATCCCGTCGCCGTATTTCTGGCCATTATGTTGTGGTGAACACTTAATGAGAGAAATAGGGAAACAGAGCGGGTTACATACATTCAGGGTTGCTCCTGTCCAGTATGTTGGAAGAATTTGACAAACACTTGAATAGTCTTACTTAAATAAATGTTAAAGAATATATTTTATTATTTACAATAGAATGTGATAATCATTATCGCAATGTAAACACTATTAACGGTATTTTGGGAGAATAGTAAGTTATCCTTAGCTCGAGTTGCTTCCCTTGGATCGTGAATTACAATCAGCTTCTCTACATGATTAGTTATGTAGTCAAGAAGTTAGTTTTCCCTTTACTTGGGTCATATCGTCTGCTTTTGGGAGTATCCCATCATCTGCCGTATCTCAAATACCCAAAACATCGGCAATGCATACCCATCGCTTTGGTGGTATAGACGACATTTCTGGTGTGTCTTGTTTGTAGAGCCGTAGGTCAGGGAGCGTCTGAACTGCTCGATGTCAGTCAGAGAAATGAGTCGCTTTTTAGTGCGTCCGCCGGCTTTTATACCTTCCAAAGTGTAAACAAACGCGAAATTCTCTCATGGAATTTCGCTGAATTATGATGTTTCCGACAGTTTAAAATGTACAAAATAATAACATATCGCTTATTGAAGCTACGAAGGATCTATGCATACTTCGTTTACATTTAAAGGTAAGCTATAAGGTCTGAAATCGTGTCTGAATCGAAGTTGGCGAATCTCGTCATTTTGAACGGCATGCAACAGTCGTAGCTGGAAGATAGATATTGGAAATTTCTCTTACAAATACGTATTTACGAGAACGCAAATCATGTCTCATAACATGGGTGAAATCTACATATCAGAAGACAGTAAATTCGTAACATAAATATTGATCGAATATTGATACCTCCCTCGGTCTTATCTTCTGTTGTGAAGCCTCATCTCTTACTGTTGTTGTGCTAGCATCTCTTTTCCATTTGCTGTCTTTTGCTGTAAAGTCTGTTGTTGTCTTTCGTTGTGATGTCTAGTCCGTTCCTGTTGTTGTCTTTCGTTGTGATGTCTAGTCCGTTCCTGTTGTTGTCTTTTTCTTTGCTATATGCTTCTCCCTGTTTGTTTTTTGAGGGATGTCTCTTCCTATCGACATTGTTATCCGTTTTTTTCATATGCCATATGTCAACGCCGTTGTATTTGTTTGAATTAACATTACATATATAAACACCAACGGTAATTAAAAAATCACAGTACACAGAAAACAGTATCGGAGAGAAAAATTGAAAATCGTCGATGTACAAAACATAAACATACCTGTTATATTTAAAACTCACGCAGATGACGGATGACTAACACCGAGTCAGCTTTAAATCTCATCAAACACAGGTTGGCGCGGATTTACGTCCCTGTTCCGGGTTTTACTGAGCCTAGAACACAATATAATGAAAGACAGAGAGAGCAATACTGTATATATACCTTCACGATGTGGTATTGTTAGATGGCCCAGTACGATTGACATTCATTATGATTGCAACACATGGTCGATGAATCTACAATTTTAACTACGGGTTGTGACTGACATTAACGATTTATCGACCAAGATTATGACTGAAACACGTGGTACCGTAAAACACGATATTTAATTATGTTTACAACTAGAATATATTGTCTGACGAAATAGCGATGTTTGACTTTGCTTTTGACTAAACGGCATTGCAATACACAGCAACTATATTGAATATTGTTGTAACTGACTGAAAGACAAAACAGCAACACCAACCATAGTTATACCCCCGCAACGAAGGGGGTGGGGGTGGGGGTGTGTGGAATTACTTTTTCTGTCTGTCCGTCCGTCCGTCTGTCTGTAGAAAATATTTAGCCCTTTGACTTCTGTAGACGGTACATTACGTTACTGAAATGGTTAATTATCTCGGAAACGATAGGTATTTTGAATACACATATACATCGGAACATTGTAGGGATTAATAAAAGCTACCCGACTGACAAATTTACAAGGTCTTCGGGTCAGAGGTCACGAATGAATTAAGTTACTGAAATGGTTGACTATCTCGAAAAAAGTAGTCAATTTATAAGTATTTGAACCAAATCTCAATTAATTCAGGTATGACTAACGATTGTAGACGGTTAAACTACTTTGGAGATTTTCCAACGAATGTATTATCTAATATGTGTCAATGTTTACTAGATTAAGGACATATGAAGGTCAAGGAAAGGAACTGACCCACTGCATGATCGTAAAAAACGACTTATATCCCTCTGTGGTATCGGGGATAAAAGTAAGAGGTGACCCGCCCTGCATAATACGGGATTGTTATCTTTGTCTTGCACTTAGAGGATATTATGTAAATAAAAAAAGATCTGCAGCCCCCATTGCGGCGCTTGAGCTCTTTCTTTTTTCTTTTCCCCTACAACCGTCTTTGTTTGTGCTTGGTTGTGGGGACGATAGATTCCTGATAGAAATGCACTCAGGTTATGTCTATACATGTACAATTTACTAAATTGATCGAAGATACACCGAGATATTATCATTTCCTGATGACTATGTCATAGCGTTCTGTTACGTAGACCAACTCTTTTACTTTTTGATCTATTTACTGTTTTTGTACTCACTACTTTATATATCATTATCATTATACATACATATTTTATTGCAGAGATAAGTTTTTTGTTGATCATCTAATTTTAATCTGTCAGAATCCCTGACTGTTTGATAGTAATGGTAATATTACGGGATTTTCCTATATATACACAGTTAAGGTAAATACTAACGAACGAAACGAGTGGTTTAATTAAACAAGTGACAGTGTAGAAGTATAAAGGTGTTGTGGTAATCATTTACATAATACAGCATTTACATAACTCCCTATCTATCCACCTGGGGATGGAGTTGGGCAGCATCTACTGTAGAACCACCCGTAAATGTATACAAGGTAATACGATATAGGATTTGTGCATTGAGTGAACTAGTCTTTAAAAGACTGTTGATGAAATGTAACATACAATTCAGTCGTAAACAGATCGATTTTAACACCCCTCTTGTTACCATTCCGAAAAAATCAGTTCCCATTGGCCACAGTACGATCTCTGTTCAACAGCTGTGCCTATGACGGCTAGAGATGAATGATGAAGCACTGTAAACACTCGGAGCTGTTCCATTTAGTCTCGTGTATGTGTTCTTCAAATCATACATTCCCTGAACCAAAAAATCAGCATATCACCAGATGATGTCTGAGTGAATATAATTGTTGTTGCGTTGACGTTATAATTATCTTTATATGGGCGCCTTAATCAAGTAAAGGATATTTGCTGTGTACTCCCCGGAGAGCACGTGGTTTCGCTACAAGGGGGATTTTGTTTTTCATTATATCTTTCGCTTTCAATTAATCTTATGTCTCCTCGGCTACTTTCAGTGTCTATATACATTCTGGCTTTGCTCTCTAATTTTCTATTTGTGTATTAGCACTATGGTATTTTTTTAAATCTTATTTTACAATACAATTCACGTATAATATATGACACATACATAAACAACTTCGAATTAATGTATCTGAACACGTCTTGGTGTCTGTTATGCAATTTGTGACTAATGTTTTTGGTTTTGTACAACATTGTTCAAATATTATTTGTAAGTGTTTGGATTGAGTTCTTATTCGTATGAGTTTCCGTTTGAGGGCGATTTATTCCAATTGCATAACTTCATCACGGATGCATTCTAATCATTGACCCTGCAACTCGTATCTGCAAACAGTTTGGTTTGGTTTGGTTTAGTATTGTTTAACGTCCTATCAACAGCTATGGTAATTTAAGGACGGCCTCCCCTGTGTGCAAGATGCACGGGTGTAGTGTATGCGTGTTTTTTTTGGAGGCTGCGATATGTTCGTGTTTGTCTCCTTGTGATAGCGCGGAACTGATGCCGACTTTATAGTGCTACCTCGCTGAAACATACTGTCAAAGATACCCAGCAGGGCACCCCGACCGGTGACATTATACTGACAACGGGAGAACCAGTCTGGTATGACACTGGTATGACTTGGTCAGGGGACACAACCCAAAGCCTTCCTCACAGGGGCGAACGCTCAACTAAAGGCCAAGGGAGACATAAGTTGTTTAGAAAGAAGAGAAAAGAAAAGATCCCAAATTTAGTCGCCTCTTACGATCATGCAATGGGGGCAGCAGGTAACCTCTTAACAACAATATATATACATGAATGAAAAACAAAATTTGTGTTAGCAGATTGAGAGCTGTTACATCTATATTTCATTTTCATTACTTACATGTAAATGTGCAAGAATTGAAACTCATAGGTTTAAATGTGCATATTATAATATACATTTATGAATTTAAAGAGTCAGGTGATGTTACATACGGCATACACTTGATCAGTGTCATACCAAATTGTGAATATAAACAGATTTACAGATTGACAAACATTATTCATTGAATTGCGACGTAAATGCAGACTTAAAATTACTAAAACGTCAAAACAATAAACCAGCCCGACATCGTTCTGGTCTATTCTTGTTGATTCAACCACATCCTAATTCTGTTGTACCACTATCCATATAGTGTGTTGGGGAATATTCTTCTTTCCTTCAACAATCCTGTTAATTATGGCATTTATTGATCAAACTGCTTTAACAAGACTCGATAGAATTGTTGTATTCCTACGTGATGGATTTCGTGTGCTTATGAATGACTTTATCAGTATTATACATAGTGCCTTTTTGGCGTTCCCAATACGAAAATCCACATTCACACAATAGCACTGTTCCAGCCACCACGATCCCTATTCCGATCAAGTAGAAGGCACTTTGAATGTCTATTACGTTTACAACTGTAGCTTCAGGTACTAACGAACTAAAACACGTGCTTCTCTTAGGCCAATGTTTCAACTTCCAAATTTGTAACAGTCCACTTTCGTGTATTCCGAGTATTCTGAAAAAAAGGAATAAAACAATCTACATGCATAATTAAATAAATTTATCCAGACCAAGAATTTACCGGTAATCTGTCAAAAGTAGTTGGATTTATGAAAAGATACTTGTACATCAGACGGTCATACTTTCGGGGTCGAAGAAAGATGCAACAGTTCACTGAATTTCACTTACATTGAAATACAACGTTCCCTTGTGAATATTTTATAATTACACCAAAAAAGACAGAAACTTCACAGCTCTTTGGAAAATTATATGGCGTGTTTAACTTTAGATTCATAAATGTAGGAAGTGTTTTCCCTTTTTTATCAGATGGCGTGAAGATAAAGTATGTGTCTGCGAATACAATTGTACATATGGGTTTTTTGAAAAATATGGTACAGTGACATGATAGCAAACTTGCAATTCAGTTAAGAAACTTTGTAGAACCTCTTTTTTTTAGAAAACCCGTGTTACGAATAACTTACTCGTTAGCGAATAACCTAGTATATGGAGAGTTGTTTGGAAGTCCGATGGCGTACTGTAAAGGGAGAAACTCCTCCTTCGTCATCACCATATCACACTCCTTGCGGGTTCTCATCTTTATCTCGCTATAGGTCTTGTCTCCTAGGAACACATAGTTTCCGTCCAATACCTTGGATATGTGGATGTCGGGATCTGAACTCAGCACGTTCCCATCGGACTCGTTAAAGCGGACAAGCCCGTTCCACACCTTCCGGTAAACGTGCTGCTGAGATGTCTGTAATAGTTAAAATGCCTCTTCAAATGCCCGTAGTCTTTAAACATGCATCTAGTCATATTTACATATAAAACATGACAAAGGAACTTTCTTATATCATCGCTGCAAAGTATATAAATCTGAACTATAGAAAAACCATGGTGTCACGATCTCTTAAAGAACCCATTCACCGAAATTGATATGTCCACAAAGATATGATCATATTTATCTTTTCCCCATATTGATCTTACTCATTTCTTTTCAAAGCTGCTTTCTATGCATATCATACAATAAAAGTTAAGGCCCTGGACAATGATTTCAATATTTGAACTTTCATCGTTGTATGACCCTGGTCTTAAGCATATAGACCTGTGACATGAGACAGGCTCTGTTGTTTATGATACGTACACAAGTAGTTTTAAATCGCAAATAGCTTCGTTATTAAAAAAATCAGGCCAGGACATTTTTTGACTTTGACCCCTTGCCACGACCTTGATTTTTACGATACGAACATTCAGAGTGTTTGTCGTCTAATCGTCAAACATTAAGGAGGTTTAATAACGATATTTTGATGTCATCGGTAGAACTTGTATATGAAATTTCCAAGCGAATTTTTGTGTCTGATAGACATTCTAAATTTCGGGTATTTCTTGGAAGAGAACAATGAAACATTAACTTTATTCAATTTCAAGCTTTGGATATTTTTCAACATATTACAGATGCCATTCCTAAACGATTACTCACTTAGCCATACATATCAGTGTTTGAAACCTCCCCCACACCACCCTACCCAAATGGTGCATCCCCTAACCATACCTTGAAGATATCGATGAAGGCTGTTCCCCCAATGGTGCCCCACCTGTACTCATCCTGGCCGACCATACCACTGATAGTGTCGAAAGGTAGCTTTTCCTTGGACACAGTGAGGAAGGCGATCAGATTTCCGCTGTACGTGGCCATCATGGCGATACAAAAGAGCCACCAGAAGCTAAGCAGTGTCCTCCCTGAAACCGCGTCCGACAAGTGTTCTCCTCCTGGTGTGATAAAGTAAACAAATAAATACAAAAAAAAATAAAAAAAATTGCAGAGTTATCTTCTCTTGTGAGCAGGTCTTGATTGTTACGTCATTGGTTTGAGTGAGAAATTACGTCGTTTTCTCAAAAAATATATATCAAAAATTGATGACGTTACTCTCACAAACAAATGACGTAACAAGCAATACCTGCTCAAAAGAGAAGATAATTCTGCAATACGAAAAGACGTAATTGTCCACTATATGTGTAAGAGGCAACTAATGTGGGAACCAACTGCAGAATTTGGGAGTTTCTTTGTGCCATCTACTTGGGGACGCTAAAATGACCATAATAGATCTGCTGCAACCCATGCCGTTGCAACAATTGGGATCTTTGTTCTTTTTTCTGCTTCTATCAACCGTTTTGTATCCTAGCGCCTCAGTTGGCAATACGTATCAACGCATGCTTACGTTATAAGGTACACTCATTGTCAAACGATCACCAATTTATTAAGACATAGTTGATATATAAGATACTACCACTTTATATGACATACAACATAGCACCAGTAAATTTGGCATATAGCTGGATACAGTTGCCTGAGTTTTGGAAGTGATACATTTCCAGACACGAAAACAGTCCCGAATCTCCCTGTACTACATGTTGTATCTATTTTCCACTAAAAGAATTGTTATTAATGAGTGTTTTATTTTTATATTGTTGCCAATCGACAATCTGAGTCATTTAGGGCCCAACATCACTGTAAAAAAAACATTAACGAAATAAACACACAGCAAACCAGAACAAGAAGGCTTAAAATATGTAAAGGATTTAGAAATACATCAATATCGAACAAATTGGCTACACAATGTATTATATTTCATTGTAAAGATCAAAAGATTGTAAAAAGTCATATATTGATTGCACAGAAACAGTATCGAATAATCTTTTCATAGACGGTACATCATATATCTGTTACGTATTTGATTGAAATCAGCGCATTCAATTATAAAGTGTTTGACTGTAAATGGTTGACTACCTTGTGTAAGGAGAGCGCCGTACAGGTACCAGAAGGAGTCTGAGAAGTGATGGAGGCCCCTCATGGATGACCTGTCCGGTATCTCTCTGTAGTACGGACTGAGGTACTCTAACATACACAACACAAACGACATGGTCGGAAGTGATATCCCAATACAGATAAGGACGGTCGTAGTAAACGGATCGATGAGTGTCCGCCATTTTGTCTCGGAAGGATCGGGCTTTTTCAGAATCATTTTGGTTGGCTCAAAATAATAAGGGTATGAAAAATCCATAACTGCCTCCCTATTTGTCTGGATCGAGATTGGAGCCACGATTAAGTCAACCTCCTGCGAATGATTAGTGTTAGTTTCATATAATTATACAAATATGCAGAAATTGTCCATTGAAAAAATACTCTTTCTCTGAACTGTTTGTCTTATTCGTGAGTTTTTATAAATTTCTTTTATTAACCTAACTTATCTTTTTTGTTACATTTCTTCCTAATGGCATACATATATTTAAAAAAAAAAGCATGCAAATTTTTTTGAACGTTACGAACTCAAAACACAACACAGCACATACTTTAAGTGTGTTATAATTATCAAAAATGAACATACATTTCTTTGCATTTGACCAATCAAGCCATTGAAGCTGCCGTTCTCGAACTCCATTCCCCATGCTCCATCAGCTGGCATTGTCATACGGTACCTACATTGTGGGTTTATTCATTATAAGAGGTCAATAGTTCTACCACTGCATCACATATATCAATATACCAGGACAATATAAACAATATTTTCAATACAAAGGACAAGATATACCACAATATTAAAGCATTTAGGACCACTTTACATATGTACTAAAAAGTGAACATACAAGGACAAAATATATCACAACGTCAACATATATTAACATAAACACATCCAGTGTCAACACACAGAAAAAATGTCAATCGGTATATTGTCAATACATTGGTACAAAATAGTATCACAGTACCAACACAAGGTTATAATATAAACCACAGTGCAACACATTGAAACACAGTATACTTCAATGCAAATAAGTACAAAATCGCATGAATCAACATAAATCATTATTATATACCACGTTGTCAACACACTAGGACATATAATACCAGTGTGAACACAACGGGATATAATATACCGCAGTGTCAACACACTAGGACATATAATACCAGTGTGAACACAACACATTGTGTCAGCACATTAGGACAAACTATACCATAGTGTCAACACATTAGGACATAATTATACCAGTGTCAACACACTTCGACATTATATACCGCATTGTCAACACACTAGAAAGCAATATACTGCAATGTAAAAACACAAGGGCATAATATACCACTGTGTCAACACACTAAAATGTTATATATTGCAGTGTAAATACACAAAGATATAATACACCGAAGTGTCAATACAAGAGAACATAATATATCACTGTGTCAACACACTAGGACATCATATACGTCAGTGTCAACTCACAAAGACATTATATACACACTTCAAACACACTTCGACATTATATACCACAGTTCAAACACACATCGACATTATATACTGCAGTGTCAACACAATAAGACGTAATGCACCAGTGTCAACACGCCAGGACTAATACGCCTTTGTGTTAACACACTAAAACGTACGTAATATACTGCAGTATAAACACACAAAGACATAAAACCGCAATATAAATACACCAGGACTAAAACCGCAGTGTCAATACGCCGACAACGATAGCGTAATATATCGCAGTGTCAACACAAGAGGACATAATAAACCACTGTGTCAACACACTAAAACGTAATATACTGCATTGTTAATACACAAGGACACAATACATCGCAATATTAATACACCAGGACATAAACCGCAGTGGCAATACGCCGACAACGATAGCGTAATATATCGCAGTGTCAACACAAGAGGACACATATAACAATGTGTCAACACACTAGGACAAAAATATGATTAACAAACAGTGACAGCAGATTCTACAATGCCTTCACAGAATTACAACATATACCAGATATTTTAAACACTTTGACACAATTTACCGCAGCGTCAACATACAAAGACGAAAACGGCACTCAAAGATACGTACATGGTAAAATAAGAAGCTTGTCTATCAGTACTTCAAAACGTGTTAGATATTGAAGATTTCCCTATATTCATAGTTATAATATGAAAAATAGCAAACATACGTAAAATTCAAACTGGATGCTAAATGGGCTAGCATGTCGATGCAGAATCCGCTAAAAGTCATGTTTTCGTGTTTGCCTACAAATGGATACCACTGTAGGAGGAAATGAAAACAGGATTGTTAAATACGGTTATAGGGAACAAAAACAACAGAAAAAACAAACAAATGTAAATAAATCACCAAATATATGAAGTAGGGAAACAACTATTAAATAATTTTAAGTCGATGTGGATTCAAACGAAGAAAAATGTGCTAACAGTCTATAATGTACATTTAATGGCTACAATAAGCATCGTAAGGGTTAGTACGCGCACGTGAAATCCAATTTTCTACTTCGTTTTGCAAAATAAATTTGATTCATCAACTATTAGCATACTGATTTGTGTACTTATTTTGTGTAGAAGCAGGTCAAATTTCCTTAGTTAGTATGGTTTAGTAAAGGGGTATTCATGATATGTAAATAGCAATGAACTAAGGACATGGGATTCTAACCGATGGTGTGCCAATACAACAAGCCAATCAATTGAGAGGTTTGGATTAACATACACACAATGTACGTTCCGAGCTTACCATGTTTTATGACTTCACGATTTAACTTATACTGTGATGGTGCTAATGGTATGTATTGTACCATTGATAACTTCCCAATGCTCCCCTTTCTTCAATCGTTTTAATCATATTGACATACAAGAAGTTTCATATCGGTGTCCTTTCAGTTGACATTTGCATTAGACTGTTCACCGCATCAGTCAAAAGAGTGCATACTCTATATGTAAACTAGAACTGTAAGCCAAAGGCTAACCAATACCCTCGCCCCTAAATAAACCAGAACTGTAAACTAAAGGCTTACTAATGCAAAGCAATATAGTCTCCCACCAGTAATGAGTTAATCGCTATTTTATTGAAAACATAAAAATAAAATAAACAAGTATTTCGCACAAAGGGGAATAGCTCCATCAAAAAGGTTCGAAATCCCAAATTAAAATGCCGGTGCACAACTACATAAGATACCGATCAATCCTGCCAAGTTTCAATGAAATCCACCTGTCAGTTAAAGAATAGTTGTCCAGTATTTCGCACAAAGGGGCATAACGCAATCAAAAAGGTTCGAAATCCCAAATTAAAATGCCGGTGCACAACTACATAAGATACCGATCATTCATGCAAAGTTTCAATGAAATCCACCAGTTAGTTAAGGAGAAGTTGTCAAGTATTTCGCACAAAGGGGCATAACTCCATCAAACAGGTTAGAAATCCCAAATTAAAATGCCGTTGCAAAACTACATGAGATACCGATCAAAGTTTCAAAGAAATCCACCTGTTAGTTAAGTTATCTAGACAAGTTACTGCGGACGACAGGCAGACGTCCAGACAAACATCCAGACAGGGTGATGCCAGAATACCCACCTAACTTCGTTGCGGGGGTATAATTAACAAACTAACCACGTTTCTAGTTTAAAGGGAAATCACGTGAAAAGGCTTTTTTTTAATGAATGTATGTATTGTATGCACTTCCACTCATAGTCCGTTCCAAATGTCCAGTTTGACCACTTGAATTGTTCGGGAAAACCCTGCTAACAATAGCGCCGATAACGTCACCTGACTAGGCAGTAAACACAAGTCGTGCGAGCGAGATGAAACGGTTTCCAAAGGGGCCGTAAGGCAACTGCAACTTCTTACCGCACTATGAAACCAAGTTACATGATTTCTAAGTCCGTAAGTGAATCCTTCCCACTGGCAATAATGATTCCGTGACGTACCCCTTGCGCTATTTTTTGACCATTTGGCAACTGTTCGCTTCGTAGCTGACACGGTACAACACTTTTCTTTCGCTTACTTCACACGGCCAGTCATTTTGTTTACAAAGAAATGGTGTGCTATGCGCATGCGCTAGTAGAGGGAAATCCCTGAACAAAACGTTGGTCTGACAGGTAAAAATACCGATGATTATCTTAGATTTAAACATTTTTATGCATCTATTTCAGCCAAATCCGATCGTTATTTTCCATAAGGAGTCTCACTTGATTTGTTTATGTAGTATTTGAAAAAAAGACACAAAAAAGTTACTTCAGCGTGATGCCCCTTGAAGTGAATTCCTTACAAAGCATATGCAGTTGTTCAGCAGAGTTTGTTGATTTTGGAAATATAGCATAGATCATCGTTTCATCGTTTACACAATGTACTTACAGGTGTGTCGGAACGCTTCAAAACCGACTAATCCTTCTGTCTCTAAAGCTACGACTGTTTGAGCGTATTACAGTTGACCGTTCGTTTGACAAAGAACCTATTTTGAGCGTCCATTATCATTACCTAACATTTACTACTGTATTTCAGGTATTGCTGGTAAAAATCTCAACTACTTACAACATCAGATTTATAAATTAAGCATGAATTCAAAAATCATAAGCTGTCAATTTATATCAAAATATATATTGAAAATTATATTTTCTTATATTTTTATATTTCCGATTCATTTATTATCGTTTTCTAGCACTTAAAAAATGACATTTGGCGATATAATTTATTTCCGTTTCCTTGACTTATGGAAAACTTGATAAGACGTTAAACCCTAGACCACCAACCGGCCAACCAACGTACCTAGCCCTCTACGAAAGATCACAATCGTCTATGTACTATGATTATCACATGACAAATTATCTGCCTGCAGAAATTATCTTTGTTCAAATAACGATATACATTACCACGTTGGTGGAGACCAGGAGTTGTCGTCCATTAAATCCGAATTTTGCATTAGGGAATATATCGCCGGACGTGAGCAGTCTACCCGAGTCCCGTATGTGTCCGACGGTCTGGAATCCTCTTCCGGACTTGGTCCACATCAGCGCTTCTATAGCGACCCACTGACAAACCACCTTATTGTGCTGGACGAAACATGCAAGACATGTCGTGTTAGTGTACAGATCAGAGAACGTTAACTACAAAGCTGACTAAGTAACGCTATGATCGCAACTTTAGAAAATCAACTATCAGTCACGACATGAACGATTCACAAATGGGAGCAAATACATTATTGTCACTAACATGCTATGAATAATGGGTTCAGAAATAACAACTAATGAGTCAGGGTGATTGTAATTTAAACTTTCACCTGGCTAATAGGTATCAACATCACATACTATCTAATACACAAATCTTTCCGAATCGCAATTTGCAAAGGCAATCGAAACAATTCAAGTCAGACCTTTTTCAATTACCTTCAAATTATACTTATATGAATATGACATTTGTATAATACATTTTAAATTAAAAAGTCAATAATCGAGAAAACAACTATTGCAAAGCTAAAAGCATCTGGAGGGTTTTATGTCGACCATACAAATGGCGGATAAATCTGTCCAAGAGATGAAAAAAACGAACTATACAAATAATAACAAATGGTCTCATATATCTGATATTATGAAGATACTAGAAGAAAATATCAAATGTAAAAGTAACAGACATGTCGTGCATCATTACAAATACCGTTTGCGTGAACCACTCTGTGAGAAATGTTAGCTGCGGAAAAAACATATTCTATATTAATTGGAATTATGTGTATACATGCCGTTGTCTGATAGAGCGTGATTCGCTAAAAGCATCTGAAGGGTTTTATGTTAAAAAAAACCCACAGATGTTGGCAGTTTTATTATGGTAATAACTACTTGTACTTTGTGCTAAAATTGAAATTAAACGTTGCTATTGACACGGCCTATTTATGATACCGATTCGTTCGTTTCATTAATCCAGCACGACACTTCCTCACACTTTTGAGTTAAGACCGAACAACCCCAACCTAGGGGCAGCATTTATTACATTTCTAACATGAACCACTGCCAAAGGCTAGACACTTAAGACTCTTACCACTTCCGGTGGCCAAAATGATCGGTCGTACAATGGCGAGCTCCCGGACAATATGATGTAGCACTGATCAACGACTCATCTTGGTTTGCTTGGATTTAAGCTCATGAATATGATTTAGTTGTGGATGATGCCTGAATAATTTTCACCATATTATCTGTGTAACATCTACATCAGGTAAACCTGTATGTACACCTGTATATGAACAGTGGTCACTCTCGAGCCGCCATGTTTCGCTTGGCCATTTCGTATGTTATTTAAATTTGTCTTTATTATTCATCCTATACGTCCATTGGAAAATTTTCAAACATTCATCATGAATACAGCTATCAAGAAAAGTACCAGTACTATTAACTCTGTAACTGACCCAAATGTGATTAGTGAAGTTGTCAGTCAACTTTTAAGTAATGATCTTTTCAAGGACACGCTGATTTTCAAACTCAGAATTCCTGACATTAAACATCAGCTGTCTCAACCCGAAAACAGACAAGATGACATTGAACAATATTCGCGTAGAAACTGTCTCAAGTTTCGAGGAATTCTCGAAGAAGAAAATGAGAACACCGATTCTTTAATATTAAAGGCGTGTAACACTATCCTTGGAGTTACGCTCACTGATAGTGATATCAGCAGAACCCACAGGGTTGGGCCTAAGTCTGACAGATCCCCACGGGACATTATAGTAAGATTCCTATCCTACCGTGTTCGAGCCTCAGTATATGAAGCCAGATTTTCGCTTTTTGTTAGAAGCGAGTCGACCACAAGTAATTCTTCATCGTCCCCCCCCCCCCGGCCCAGTCCATTTAAATTATACGTGAATGAAGCGCTGACCAAACAAAGAGCCCAGATATTCACAAGGCACGTTATCTTAAGTCAGCTGGTCACATATCGGGTACCTGGACGAATGACGGCAGGGTTGTTATTCGGCATAGTAATGAGTCCAAGGCCCAAGTCACACGCCTGAGCGAATTGGATTCCTACCCCGACCCCCCCTCCCCAAGCCCATCAACGTGCCTCGCGATCCGGTGTCCGTACTCTGGCCCACCAAGGTCAACGTCATTATCGCTCCAACAACATTCACCAACGCTCGCGTGGTAATGTTCCCACTATCGCAGGTGTCCATACAGACAATAGGTTTGAGTCACTCCCGAATGAGGGACAACTGTCTTGAATGATCTGTAAAGTTTTATTTTGTTTTTCCAATTTGTCTAAACATACATGTTTGAATGATCACATTTATGTGTGTGTTTATTGATCATACTTGCATATGTTTATTAGTTTCTTAAATCTGTTCCTGTCAACAGTTACATGCATGCTATATTTGTTGTGTTATAGTCCTTTCTAAGTAGCTAAATACATGTGCACACTTTTTTTTCTTTTTTTCATGTATATATATATTTTCTAACACAAGTATATAGTTGCCTGTACACCTGTACATTATTCCTGAAACTCCCTGGCTGTACATATATCTTGTGTATTGTTCACATGTTAAAAATGACAATTATAAATATTCACCATATCATGTTATATGCTATAAACTCTTGTTAGTGTAATGTTTTTTGCCCATTATATTGAATCAAAGGTACTGGGTATGTACAATATATAGATAATAAAATAATTTGTATTATCTATCTGCCTGCCAACATGAGTATTGCATGGACATGTACATGCATTTAAATATCATGATACAAATCTGTTAGTGTTTACATACGTGTTCATTAGCATGTATGTGTTTGTATACTAATGTATAACTAAATGTGAATTTGGTATGATAGATATTAATATATGTAAATTCAAAACATTGACTATTACATATATATAAGTTAAATGTATATTGTGTATTATTGTACGTTTACATAGTTCTGCCTTGTATAATCCTTGTGACTTTATTTGCATATATATCTGTATATAATGGCTTCTCATACTATCGTTGAGAATGTACATGTGTGCATTTTTCATGAACTTCGTCTACATTTTATTTGCGGATCGACCCGCATCATGCTATACAATACGCAAGAATGTATCTCTATTTTGACTTGTATGGCTTACCTTTTAATGAAAGCATAAACATAAATTCTTATTATAAAATCCACAAAAATGCGTACACCTGATATTTTACTCTTATGATTTGATACGTGATGGTTGCTTTCCACGTGCTTTATATATCATCACTTCACTCGACCTTATTTATGAAAACTAGCTTCCTCAACCCACTCATACTTATATATGGTTATGGGAGCCGTGGCTCTGAGGCTCTATCTTTTCCTTTTTATTTTTATGAATATTGATATGCGTAGAGGAACATAATATAATGATGGGTGGATCCTTTGATATTACTTACTAATACTGATATAATCAACATGTAGTTAGAGTTGACTAATTTGTTTTATAATTCAACCCGAATTGTTCGATTAAATGTAGGCGAACCTATCTCTTATTAAGCACAGGGACTCGGATATTTAATACATGTATTGTCTTTTACCATGCCAATATTTCTCTCCTATCCCCCCTAAATAGACGCACAACTACTTTACTTATTGTCATATATATATGTTACCCATGAAGGATGAAATGTTTACAATTTTTTGTCTCTTCTGTTGCTGTCGTATAGATAGATATTTTAAATTAGTATAAATTATCCAAGGGCCTTTGCTTGAAGCGTTTCAAGCACCCTGATGAGTCTTGTTCATTTCTCTTCTTGTCAACATGTGTTTCTCTGATGTAAATTGTGTGTGTGTATGGTAGCTGTTTTATGTTTGTGTTACTGTAATATCTCATCCATGCTCAACTGGATTTCGGATATCACGACGGTGAAATTTCTTTATAGCCGGATGGCTGACCGATCCTTTCCTGTTCATAGTTTCCACATCGACAATGGTTAATTTGGTTTGTATTCTTATCTTTGAAAAGGTTGGTCTCCGGCTATATTTATTATATTTAATCAAACTATATCTCGATATCTATCATGGCTTTCGTCATACTTATTTGTATTATTTTATGACGTTTTCTAGATTCGATAACTTATCTTTTATTCTTTTATCGCATCTTATAATAATGATACGGCGTTGTGACATAGAAATAAATCCTGGTCCACTACAAAACATAAATCTAGTTCATTTAAATGTGAGGTCTCTTAGAAACAAAATACCCCTTATTGAACCAGAGCTAGAAAAGTTTGATATTGTTTGTATAACAGAATCCAATCTAAATCCTTTAATATCTAACACCGACATTCACATGCACTCTTTTACTTCCTCCCTTCACAGAAAAGATAGAACTACAGGTCCAGGCGGGGGGATTATTGTTTATTATAAAAATACTATCATGATTAATAGACGAATTGAATTGGAAAGGGATGATATTGAATTGATCTGGTTAGAAGTAATAATTGATAATCACAAACTTTTACTAGGATGCATATACAGACCTGATAGTAATGTTGATTACTGGAACAAACTAGATGACACTGACCAGAGCTACTGATACTTCAATGGATATGGTACCTACCGGTGACATTAATATCGATATGTTAACCCTTCTACCTAATCATCACCTTTCAAGACTCCTTACTAAGCATAATTTATCTAGCCTTATTAATGAACCTACACGTATAACTCAGGAGAGTGCCACTTCCATTGATGTTATCTTTACAAACAACCGAAACATAATTAGAAATACTTTTACATCACCACCCTTCTGTAGTGATCATTCCTCTGTGCATGCATCCGTTTTATTTAGTGTACTCAAACAACCAAGTTATAAGAAAAATATTTTAAAATATGAAGAAGGTGATTTTGAAAGTATGAATAACACCCTTCTTGATGTTGACTGGGTGAATCTATCTTCAAACCAGGACTCTAATACATTTAACAGTACCATAACTGATTTAATCATGAATCAGGTAAATGACTTCATTCCTGTTAAAGTAAGAACAGTACGTCCTAATGATAAACCATGGATGAGCAACAACATAAGATTAAAGATGAGACAACGCAATAGATTTCACAGAAAGGCCAAATTAACA